GAATAGCATTTACTAATGGCAGTCTTTCCGGAACTGATTTAAGAAAATTTCCTGTACCTGTACAGCCTGATAGAAGATTTCTTTACGCAGGAGCAGAAGACCTCGACGCTCTTGGCGTTCTTGCATAACTCTGGAGAAAATAGTTATTGAAAAGAGATAACAACTCGCAACAATAAAAAGGGTAAAATTTCGGTCCAGTTAACGTTCTGGAAAAAGTAGGAGGATCTCCCTGAGCCATCTCAAAAGAGAGCTTGAGCTGGGCTTTTTGCGATTATTTCGTGATTTCGTGAACTCATGAGCAATTGCTGCTACCAACAGTATCTTCTTTCTGGATGATGAACGTTTTTTTATGACTTGTTAACAATGGGACTTAATGGCATTAGGGAGATTTTCGCAAGAAAACGACCCCCTCTGAAGATCCTCTTTAGGGACAACCTCCCCTCCCTCCTCCACATCCCTAAATTTTCCCAAATTGCAACCACTTTCACAGAGTTTTTTTGAGTTTTTTCTTGCCGCTCGGAAGTTCTTCACTTTTTCTCCAAGAAACTGCCGTTGAGCAGGGATGGGTGTACAGCTCACTTGAAACGAAAAGTCAACAACCGAAAATTTTTTACACAAACGAAAATATGACCTCCCCTTCGCTGGGATTCCCATCATACGGTGTGCCCTCGTTAGCATACATTCGAAAGTGTGCGAATAAAAGCAATCAAAACAAACTCAGTGAGGAACTCACTTGCTTGGTGCTGTACTAGGGGGTTTCGCATCAGCAGCTACGGAACTGAGCAAACCTTGAATCGCCTTGTCATCGAGCATCTCCTGCATTTGTGCACCTGTTGCCTCATCAAACGTTGCCTTTTCATGAGACATCAGTTTCGAGATCAATGTGTTTTTGGTTCTAAAATGACTAAAGTGCATAAGACAGTATAACAAAGAAAGTAGGCGGTAGTTTCATTAGAGAATAGAAATCGCTCAATCAGAAAAGCTACCTACACTTTTTTCGTTTCGGGATCACTTTTGTTGTGGAGGTCATCAACCACAGCGTTGACGGCGTCCAGCAGTTCATCGCCTAGCACATCCTTAGAGCTGCCTGGTGGCCGCTGGAAAACGAAAATTTAGAACCAGAGCAGGGGCCAAACTGCCACTTCCAGGCTGTGTCACTAAAACTTCGTTCACTCGAAATTCGGTGTTTAAACATAAAAATTCAACAGGGAAAGGCGTTATTCATCGAGTAGCTAATGGCTGAGAGGTTGTAAAACGGCCTTGACTACGTTTTCATTAAGACGTCGAATAAGCGACCACCTAATAGCCATGTGAGCCGGGGCCCAAAAAATAGGGACCTCAAGGAACCCTGTCACATCTCGAAAAACTTTAAGGCACAACACACCTTTACGTCATCTCCATCACCTTCACTTGAAAGCAATCTGAACGACTGACGAACGATCCGCAATGATGGCACAAACTTTTTCAACATGCCCACTCTGCAAACAATACTCGGGAAAAATAAAGTAAATGAAGGACAATTGTTGTTACGCACGCATGACGTGATATATTCGCAAGATTGTTTAACAATGTGTATGCAGTAAATACGGCAAAGTGTTGGTATGCTTTTTCGTGAGCAGAGAAGAGAAAGAAAATGAAAAAAGAAAGAAAATGAAAAAAGAAAGGAAGACAATAAATTACTAAAAAATAGCAAAATGTTGTCGCTCTTAACGGAAAACCATGCCGTTCACGAATGCCGGCTTTGTCTACAGTGCAACTCTTCCTGGGATGAAAGGGCGTGGCTAGCTTTTCGTTTAGTGGCGGTGTTGCACTTTTGGTGGTGATGCCGGTTTAGTACAACTACTGGGCTGTTTATACGTAACATCATTCCCCATTACAAAGCAGAATAACAAATAACTTCAATGGAAATATCTACCGGAACAGCATCCTAAATCACATCCGAATGAAAAGCGCAGCCACGCCCTTCGCATCTCCGGGATTTGGAGTAAGTACAGGTGATGTGCGGTAGCGGTTATCTATATATGCAAAATAACTGTTATTCAACAGTGAAATTGGGCATCTGTGACGCTCAGGCGGCAACGATTCACGTGCCCAATGAGATTCGATGTGAGGTCATTCTGCGGTGAAATCTGCGTGCGGCCCCGAGGAGACCGCGAGGCACAGTGGACGCGATTACCATGATAGGTTACGTGCGAGCAGCTGACAAGGATGGTGAAAGAGCAGAGTGGCGAATTCCCGAGATATGATGCACTATCGAAAAGAGGTATGAGAGAAGTCCCAAATTCTGCTCCATAACGTCTTGTGTGCGCGAGTGAGAGAGCGTGTGAAATCGTGTTGCGCCGCACCGCACCAGTAAATGCAAATAGCACGCGAGCGTGTACACTTCCATGTGATAATGCCAACAAACACCCACACACTTCATATTAAGGGAAAAACATATCAAAGGAGGTCTGAGATGTGGAAAGCTAATTACATACATTGAAGGCATTAGCCAACAATGAAAGTGGCCACTCACCATAACGGGCAGTTTCATCGCTTAGGACAGATGCCTATGACGCCAGAAGTGCGGTTGCGCTGCTCGCCGATATCCAGTTTTTCTGAGAGGGAGAAGAGCTACTCACTCCTTTTCTTCTGCAGCACATGCCCATGAGGAAAAATGAGCAGACTCAGCCCTAGTTCCGGCACTGCACCTCTCACCCTGCGAGAATGAAGTGGCCAATTCTGTTGCGTCAGAGATCGGGTAACTCCACCAGTAGCTCATCCTATATATCCTATACAATCCATCTCCCGGAAAGGAGCAAGGCGTGGTTGCACTTTACAGGCATTCTAGTGCCAGGATAGGATCCATATCAGAGATTTCCACCCACCGTTTCTTCGCAGAATAAGCCACTCAAGTTTAAAGACAGCTCCCGCGATAAAAGTGTCATGGATAGTTGCTTTTCAATTATGAAACAGTAGCTGATAAGTAATTCCCCAAAGAAGAAAAAAAAGCAAGAAGAGTCCTCAAGAACACCAAACAAAATTGCTCCCTGACAGTCACACCGCGCTGCGGTCGCTATGCAACCCCTGGCTCGCAAATCCCTTTATCACATCTCCCAGTAGTGGATATCATCCAATGCAAAAAAAGAATACGAAAAACAACAAAAACACGGAAGAAAAACTCTTGAAAAGGAAAAGAAACTTTCAAAAACTCGGCGTCCGAATTTAGGGTTACGGTAGCGTGCATCTTTTAGTGTAGTGCGTCGAGCTTTTGCACCACGAAAATTGGGTCGCTCGTGATTTTTACGCGTTTTACCTTGCGAGATGGGTTGGAGTTGACTGTATCTGCTCCTAATGAATAAAATGTAA